AAGGAAATAAATATATAAAAAAAAACAATAAAGTGAAGCAAAAATGGACGTATCAGCAATCCCCCAGCTGGTCGTCAAACCCGTGCATCAATCACTCCACTGCAACCGCTTGGCGCCTCCCGGCCCTTTAAGAGTTTCAGCTACCGAGAGGCGGAGCTTTAGGGTCATGTGACCGCCGTGATTCGCCATCGCATGATCTTCCGAAAGGGGAGATTGGGACCTTTCCGGGACGTATGTGCTAGGAGCGTACATTAGTGGGTCATAGAAATGGCCGATTTTCATGTGACCGTCGAATTTGAGTGATCGGGTAGGTTAGAAATTTTTTGAAAAATGAACGCATTTCTAATTAATACACGGGTCAAATTCCGAACGAATTTTCGATTTCGAAATTCGACCAGCCGAGCCTTTTATTTCACCTCATGGTGCCACAGAAATGAATTTTCGTGGCCAAGAATTTTCTTTTCTTTCCAGGTCGCAGCGCATTTCTTTTTCAATTATGTTTCTCATGCAATTTTTTCATCACTGATTAAAAATTGATTCGTTTTTAAAAAAATTTCCAACATGACCGATCATTCAAATTCGAAGTTCGCTCGCAAATCAGCCGTTTCTGTGACCCATTAATGGTGCGAAATTCAAACGAAAATTCTTAGAAAAGATTTTCGAAAGAAAATTCTTTCGGAATTCGACCCGCGTATGGCCGGCATAATGATGGGAGAATTGTCCGGGAAATATAAACAAAAAAGAAATGAGCTGCAACCTGGAAAGAAAATTGACCACGAAAATTCTATCCTGTAGCACCATGAGGTGAAATTGAAGGCTTGGTTGGTCGAATTTCGAAACCAATGGTGACGCCATCGGATTACAAAATGCACAAAAATTCCGATTTTTCTAAAGAATATTTGTTCGGTATTCGACCCATGGATGGCCTGCCTTGGGACACTAGAATGGAAAGATTTAGTCAGTTTCCAGTTCCCCCGGATGAACCCCAATCTTCTGCAGCTGGATGTCTGTCATTTAGTGGTGGTATCACCGCCGCCACCAAATGACAGTTCCCCGCCACCCGCCTACTTGATTCAAAGGCTAACCAAGCCGGTGGGCATTTTGGGTGAAGTAACCGATGACATCAGCTGGTCTCAATGTTGACATTCAGCAGCTGGCCAGGGAATAGTCATCTATTGAGAGGTGGCACAAAGAACCTCTGTGATGAGGGTAGTCATGTCCACGGGCCGTCGCTCATCACGGTCCTACATGGATCTGCATCGCCGGACAACTGGATTGATGTTGGGTTTACATTCGGGGTCATTGATTATTTTTTATTTTATAGATTTTTTTTTTATGGCGTGTTTTTTTTTACATTTTAAGAACTGAGTAACAAGGGGTGGTAAGATAGTGAAGTCTGTGGTTCTCCGAAAACTGAGGGTTGTCCTGAGAGCTTGCAGTTCCATGACTCGCTATTCAACTCAACCAGTTCATCTCTAGAATCATTTTGCATACACATGTTAAAATCAGTTTTTTTTTAGGGGGGGGGGCTACACTTAAAACCCCCCTCCCCAGAACACGTTGAACTCAGAAGCCCTGTAGAATAAAAAGATGGAGGTTTCAACTGTTTTTATATATTTGTCCAACTCTTGTGCCGATATTTTTCCAAAGTCCAAGTTAACTTTGCTCTGTTTGCTCATCCATACTGATCACCAGTTTAGAGGGCCCTTCTCCACCGATCACCAATGTATAGTCCCCTTCTTCACTGATCACCAGTTTAGAGGGCCCTTCTCCACTGATCACCAATGTATAGTCACATTCTCCACTGACCACCAGTTTAGAGGGCCCTTCTCCACCGATCACCAATGTATAGTCCCCTTCTCTACTGACCACCAGTTTAGAGGGCCCTTCTCCACCGATCACCAATGTATAGTCCCCTTCTCCACCTATCACCAGTTCAGAGGTCCCTTCTCCACTGATCACCAATGTATAGTCCCCTTCTCCACTGACCACCAGTTTAGAGGGCCCTTCTCCACTGACCACCAGTTTAGAGGGCCCTTCTCCACCGATCACCAGTTTAGAGAGCTCTTCTCCACCTATCACCAGTTTAGAGGGCCCTTCTCCACTGATCACCAATGTATAGTCCCCTTCTCCACTGACCACCAGTTTAGAGGGCCCTTCTCCACTGACCACCAGGTTAGAGGGCCCTTGTCCACTGATCACGAGTTTAGAAGGCCCTTCTCCACCGATCACCAGTTTAGAGGGCTCTTCTCCACTGATCACCAATTTAGAGGGCCTTCTCCACCAATCACCAGTTTAGAGGGCTCTTCTCCACCTACCACCAGTTTTGAGGACACTTCTCCACCAACCACCAGTTTAGAGGGTGAATGATGGTCATTAAAAAAAAAGGTTGAGGACTAAATCTTATAGAACTTTCTTTTTTTATTTGGTCTAAGGTCTTCAGACTGCTATATAGTCTATTCCATGAGAAGAACCAAGATGGCGGTGATGGGGAACATTCTAGGTGATATTTTTAGCGACTCCATGTAGCCTTAGACATCAGCTAACACATAGGGAACTGGGCCTTCTGGGCTCTTCATCCCACCAATAAAGAACCGATGGATGATTCTCTACGAACTGAGCACATTCCAACCACCAATCATCTAAGAATGATGGTCATTAAAAAAAAAAAGTCTGAGGACTACATCTCGTAGAGCTTTCTTTTTTTTATTTTGCAAAATCAGAATTAGCGACTATCGCACAACAGAACAAATCTTAAACTTTTTCTAAGTTTAGTAACTTCCCTGAGGAATCTGAGGCACATGGGGGTACAGGCATTCCCTGACTTATTACGAGGGGCTCCCACTCTCCCTTCTTGATCTTATGAAGAATGCCAGAAGAGGAAGGAGGACAGACCAATGGATGGGAGCCAGGAACGTTAGCAAGCAGGTTCCACCAATGGAGTGTTCAAGACTCGGGTTTTCGGGTTCCACCAATGGAATGTCCGAGACTCGGGTCTTCAGGTTCCACCAATGGAGTGACCGAGACTCAGGTCTTCAGGTTCCACCAATGGAGTGTCCGAGACTCGGGTCTTCAGGTTCCACCAATGGAATGTCCGAGATTTGGGTCTTCAGGTTCCACCAATGGAATGTCCAAGACTCTGGTCTTCAGGTTCCACCAATGGAATGTCAAGACTCGGGTCTTCAAATTCCACCAATGGAATGTCCAAGACTCGGGTCTTCAGGTTCCACCAATAGAATGTCCAAGACTCGGGTCTTCAGATTCCACCAATGGAATGTCCAAGACTCGGGTCTTCAGGTTCCACCAATGGAATGTCCAAGACTCGGGTCTTCAGGTTCCACCAATGGAGTGTCCGAGACTCGGGTCTTCAGGTTCCACCAATGGAGTGTCCGAGACTCGGGTCTTCAGGTTCCACCAATGGAATGTCCGAGACTCGGGTCTTCAGGTTCCACCAATGGAATGTCCGAGACTCGGGTCTTCAGGTTCCACCAATGGAATGTCTGAGACTCGGGTCTTTAGATTCCACCAATGGAATGTCCAAGACTCGGGTCTTTAGATTCCACCAATGGAATGTCCGAGACTCGGGTCTTTAGATTCCACCAATGGAATATCCGAGACTCGGGTCTTCAGATTCCACCAATGGAATGTCCGAGACTTGGGTCTTCAAATTCCACCAAAGGAATGTCCGAGACTCAGGTCTTCAAATTCCACCAATGGAATGTCCAAGACTCGGGTCTTCAGGTTCCACCAATAGAATGTCCAAGACTCGGGTCTTCAGGTTCCACCAATGGAATGTTCAAGACTCGGATCTTCAGGTTCCACCAATGGAATGTCCGAGACTCGGGTCTTCAGGTTCCACCAACGGAATGTCCGAGACTCGGATCTTCAGGTTCCACCAATGGAATGTCCGAGACTCGGGTCTTCAGGTTCCACCAATGGAATGTCCAAGACTCGGGTCTTCAGGTTCCACCAATGGAATGTCCAAGACTCGGGTCTTCAGGTTCCACCAATGGAATGTCCGAGACTCGGGTCTTCAGGTTCCACCAACGGAATGTCCGAGACTCGGATCTTCAGGTTCCACCAATGGAATGTCCGAGACTCGGGTCTTCAGGTTCCACCAATGGAATGTCCAAGACTCGGGTCTTCAAGTTCCACCAATGGAATGTCCAAGACTCGGGTCTTCAGGTTCCACCAATGGAATGTCCGAGACTCGGGTCTTCAGGTTCCACCAACGGAGTGTCCGAGACTCGGGTCTTCAGGTTCCACCAACGGAGTGTCCGAGACTCGGGTCTTCAGGTTCCACCAATGGAATGTCCAAGACTTGGGTCTTCAGGTTCCACCAATGGAATGTCCAAGACTCGGGTCTTCAGGTTCCACCACGGAGTGTCCGAGACTCGGGTCTTCAGGTTCCACCAACGGAGTGTCCGAGACTCGGGTCTTCAGGTTCCACCAATGGAGTGTCCGAGACTCGGGTCTTCAGGTTCCACCAATGGAATGTCCGAGACGACTCAGGTCTTCAGGTTCCACCTGTAGAAGAAATTTATCTCATGACAGAAGACAACCCTCTCTACAGTAATTGTTATAATAAGCTTGTTCTACAGACTATGGTGAATTCTCCGGTGTTTAAGAAGGTCTTCTCTTCCGGTGAAACATTTCCAACATTTTTACACACATGGAACATGAGAACGTACGTTGACCTGTATGAGTTCTACAAATTGCTGTTGTATTAGGGCAACCTTTCCCGAACATTGACCATGAATAAGGACTCTCACTCATGGGTCTTCTCTGGTATTTAACAAGGCTTCATTTGTGAACGAAACATTACCCACACTCTGGTCTTGAAAAAAAAGATGCTGATTCATTTTTTGGTGTTTAGTGTGTGAATAAAACATTTCCCACACTCTGAAAATGAATTTTCATGATTGTGACTTTTGTGTTGATTAAGAAGTGACAGTTTTTCACGAAAAGTTTTCCTGCATACTATGAATAAGGACGCTCACCCGTGTGAGTTCTCTGGTGTTTAGCAAGGTCTGCTTTATAATTAAAACATTTCCCGCACTCTGAACATACATAAGGGCGTTCCCCGGTGTGAATTCTCTGGTGTTTAACAAGGTCTCCTTTAAGCAGAAAATTTTTCCCACACTCCGAACACGAATGAGGGCGCTCGCCCGTGTGGATTCTCCTGTGTTTACGAAGGTCTGCTTTGTCAACAAAACATTTCCCGCACTCTGGACATGAATAAGGACGCTCCCCCGTGTGTCTTCTCTGGTGAGTAAGAAATGATTTTTCCTCCATAAAAGATTTCCCGCACTCTGAACAGGAATAAGGGCGCTCACCCGTGTGAATTCTCTGGTGAATAATGAGCTGTCCTTTGGAAAGGCAACTATACTCGCACACTCTAGGCACGAAAAAGGACGCTTACCCGTGTGAATCGTCTGGTGCCTAATCAAGTTATGTTTTTCACCAAAACATCTCCCGCACTCTGAGCATACAAATGGACGCTCCCCCGTGTGAATTTTCTGGTGTTTAACAAGGTTTTCTTTTTGACTGAAACATCTTCCGCACTCTGAGCATGAGAAAGGACGCTCGCCTGTGTGGACCCTCTGGTGTCTAAGAAGAAATCTTTCCTGGTTGAAAACTTTCCCACACTCGGAACATGAGAAAGAATGTTTACCATGTTTAGCCCTGTGCCTCTTCTGGTGTATAAGAAGTTCTCCATGCTCAGTGAACAAATTCCCGCACACTGCACATGAAAATAAACTCTCAACTGTGTGATCAACGTTGAGGCCTACAGAAGATTCCTTGGGATGGGATAGATTGGTTGATCCATCCACACTCTGAGATTTCAGATGTATTTCTGGAGGAACGGGATGGGAGATACTAGAAGATCCCTTCGGATTAGAGGGGTCCATTGATTGCTTCAGATGGTCAGGTGGGTGATGTAGACTGTAGGTGATGGAATGTACTACAGGAGCGTATTGTGTGAGGACAAAATCTTCTGTATTAGGATACGGAGATAGAAGAAAAAGTCCTTCAGAGAGATTCGAGATCCCAACATGGTGTCCATCTGGTGAAAGAAACGTTACATAAATGTTATAAATATTCTTCATATCCTGGATTTACCAGCTACACTGAAGGAAATGCGTATTTGCTCCACTGCTGATGTTGAATGTTCGCCCACTCACAAAGAAATGATCGGTCTAAAAATCAAATCTTCGGTGTATTGTAACACTGAGAGACAGAATAGCAACAACAAATTCAGCAGAAATGCATGTCTAACAAATGATGACTGATCTGCATGTTCATGAGGGAAATAAGTATTCGATCCCCTATCATTCAGCAGGATTTCTGGCTACCAGGTGTCTTTCATACAGGTAACATGCTGAGATTAGAAGCAGTCTCTTAAAGGGAGTGCTGCTAATCTCATTTTGTTACCTGTTACCTGTATAAAAGACACCTGTCCACAGGAGCAATCAAACAATCAGATTCCAAACTCTCCACCATGGCAAAGACCAAAGAGCTGTCCAAGGATGTCAGGGACAAGATTGTAGACCTACACAAGGCTCACAAGGCTGGACTGGGCTACCAAACTATTGCCAAGCAGCTTGGTGAGAAGGTGACAACAGTTGGTGCAATCATTCACAAATGGAAGAAACACAAAACAAGTGTCAGTCTCCCTAGGTCTGGTGCACCATGCAAGATCTCACCTCGTGGAGTGTCAATGATCATGAGAACAGTGAGGAATCATCCCAGAACTACACGTGAGGATCTTGTCAATGATTTCCAGGCAGCTGGGACCACAGTCACCAAGAAAACAATTGGTAACACACTACGCCGACAAGGACTGAAATCCTGCAGTGCCCGCAAGGTCCCTCTGCTCAAGAAAGCACATGTCCAGGTCCGTCTGAAGTTTGCCACTGAACATCTGAATGATGCAGAGGAGGACTGGTTGAACGTGTTGTGGTCAGATGAGACCAAAATCCAGCTCTTTGGCATGAACTCAACTCGCCGTGTTTGGGGGAGGAGGAATGCTGCCTATGACCCCAAGAACACCATCCCAACTGTGAAACATGGTGGTGGAAACATTCTGCTTTGGGGGTGTTTTTCTGCTAAGGGGACAGGACAACTGCACCGCATCAAAGGGACGATGGACGGGGCAATGTACCATCAAATCTTGGGTGAGAACCATCTTCCTCAGCCAGGGCATTTAAAATGGGCCGTGGATGGGTGTTCCAGCATGACAATGAACCAAAACACACGGCCAAGGCAACAAAGGAGTGGCCTAGCCAGTCTCCAGACCTTCATCCGATTGAACATCTGTGGAGGGAGCTGAAAGTTCGAGTTGCCAAATGTCATCCACCAAACCTTAATGACTTGGAGAGGATCTGCCAAGAGGAGTGGGCCAAAATCCCTCCTCAGATGTGTGCAAACCTGGGGGCTAACTCCAGGAAACGTCTGACCTCTGTGATTGCCAACAAGGAATTGGCCACCAAGTACTAAGTCATGTTTTGTGAAGGGGATCAAATCCTGATTTCCCTCATGAACATGCAGATCAGTCATCATTTGTTAGACATGCATTTCTGCTGAATTTGTTGTTGCTATTCTGTCTCTCAGTGTTACAATACACCGAACATTTGATTTTTAGACCGATCGTTTCTTTGTGAGTGGGCAAACATTCAACATCAGCAGGGGAGCAAATACACATTTCCTTCACTGTATATATACAGGAGTAAAGACATAATGAGAGGCAGACTGCTGGAGTCAAACAGTGCTCGTTGGCTGGCGCTGGTGTCTCATTTATTGGGAGCCACTGTCAATCGCCAGGTAGGGTTGGCATGTCTGCTTATAGAGTTTATGGGTTGGTTACACTTTAAACCAGGGTTTCTCAACTAGGAACATTTTGCTTGGGGGTGTTTTTCTGCTAAGGGAACAGGACAACTGCACCGCATCAAAGGGACGATGGAAGGGGCAATGTACTATCAAATCTTGGGTGAGAACCTTCTTCCCTCAGCCGGGGCATTGAAAATGGGTCGTGGATGGGTGTTCCAGCATGACAATGACCCAAAACACACGGCCAAGGCAACAAAGGAGTGGCTCAAGAAGAAGCACATTAAGGTCCTGGAGTGGCCTAGCCAGTCTCCAGACCTTCATCCGATTGAAAATCTGTGGATGGAGCTGAAAGTTCGAATTGCCAAACGTCAGCCACCAAACCTTGGAGAGGATCTGCCAAGAGGAGTGGGCCAAAATCCCTCCTGAGATGTGTGCAAACCTGGGGGCCAACTCCAGGAAACGTCTGACCTCTGTGATTGCCAACAAGGAATTGGCCACCAAGTACTAAGTCATGTTTTGTGAAGGGGATCAAATCCTTATTTCCCTCAGATCAGTCATCATTTGTTAGACATGCATTTCTGCTGAATTTGTTGTTGCTATTCTGTCTCTCAGTGTTACAATACACCGAACATTCGATTTTTACACCGATCATTTCTATGTGAGTGGGCAAACATTCAACATCAGCAGGGGAGCAAATACACATTTCCTTCACTGTATAGGTCAGTACTGAGCTCCGACATTAGATTGGGTGCAATCCTAACAACAAATAGAAATACAAACCAGAAAAAGGGTACAAAACATCCAAACCACATTGAGAATGGAGATGAACCTTCCTTTGCCTCATTTCCAGGACACATGACAACATACAGAAGAACAGAGATGGACCTTTCATATGGTGTCCAGTATCTCCTCCTCATTTGTTGGGAACATGACGTTATATTGAGGAATGGAGATGGACCTTTCATATGGTGTCCAGTATCTCCTCCTCATTTGTTGGGAACATGACGTTATATTGAGGAATGGAGATGGACTTTTCATATGGTGTCCAGTATCTCCTCCTCATTTGTTGGGAACATGACTTTATATTGAGGAATGGAGATGGACCTTTCATATGGTGTCCAGTATCTCCTCCTCATTTGTTGGGAACATGACGTTATATTGAGGAATGGAGATGGACCTTTCATATGGTGTCCAGTATCTCCTCCTCATTTGTTGGGAACATGTCGTTATATTGAGGAATGGAGATGGACTTTTCATATGGTGTCCAGTATCTCCTCCTCATTTGTTGGGAACATGACGTTATATTGAGGAATGGAGATGGACCTTTCATATGGTGTCCAGTATCTCCTCCTCATTTGTTGGGAACATGACGTTATATTGAGGAATGGAGATGGACCTTTCATATGGTGTCCAGTATCTCCTCCTCATTTGTTGGGAACATGACGTTATATTGAGGAATGGAGATGAACCTTTCATATGGTGTCCAGTATCTCCTCCTCATTTGTTGGGAACATGACATTATATTGAGGAATGGAGATGGACCTTTCATATGGTGTCCAGTATCTCCTCCTCATTTGTTGGGAACATGACGGTATATTGAGGAATGGAGATGGACCTTTCATATGATGTCCAGTATCTGTAAAGTGTAAAGTGATGCACCATTACCAAGCTCCATATTTTAATTCCTTGAATACCAGCTTGTGTCTTTATTTCCATTAAAATGCCTATAAACTACTTTCATGGTTGTATATGACCCCTGACCGTATATCTAAGTTTGCCCCTTCTGTATCTCCAATGTGTTTCCGTGGCTGAAGGGGACGAGGTCCTCTCTTCCACATTTGGTATTCCTGCACCAAGGTGATCGGATCCCGGACATGAGTTTACATCATGATTAGATCTGTTCTCAAGGTTTCTCCAGCCCTCAAACCATGGAAGGCACTACTACATGAGCTGATTTTGTCCCTAAGAATGGGACAAAGGTTTTGGAGTTCCTTTGCTGTTCACACTTTTCTCTTCTCATCTACAGTAACAATTCAACTGGCTACAATGTTGCATGATAGAGTGATTGTCAGTCAAATTACTACAACGGCAAAAACTGGAAAATGGTCTGAATCAAAGGTATTATGATTACTACTTACCAGTGCTGGTATCTAAAATGGATTCCTCCTCTTTAACTGTCTCCACCACCCCAACCTCCTCTGCAGGCTGATGATCAAAACTCATATACGTCTCGTCTTTTTCCTCTTTAACCTCAACTTTCACATCTTCCAGGTCTTCATGCTAAATAAACAAATTGTTTGACAATAATATCCTTAAGTATCAACATCGATAAAAAAGGTTATTTAGGTTGCTTTATCTACCTGATCTTTATGTGAAATGTGATCTTCCTGTGTGGAATCCCGGGAATACAGTGGACAGGGACATCTCTCTGCTGGGTTCCCATGACTAGATCCACCTACCTGATGATGGTGAGGGATGGTGTGACCTTCCTGTGTGGAATCCTGGGAATACAGAGGATGGGGACATCTCTCTGGTGGGTTCCCATGACTGGATCCATCTGTAGGAAACACACACACTGACTGAATCCATTGTTTCTATGTGTTTATCAGATGATGGGGGATCTAGGTGGACCCTCCGTACTGCTCTCTCCTTTACAATAAAGTCTCCTCTTACCCGGTGATGTGAGGGGCGGTTGGTTGTCCATCATGACATAAAAGGCTTCCTTCTCTTTAACTGGATCTACAGTGGCATCCTCTTCTATGGACTGTTCATCCCTCACATATTTCACTTCTTCTGCTTTAACTTCGGCTTTTATATCTATCAGATCTTCACCCTAAAGCCAAGGAAATGGTTGGCAAACATAAGATTTAATCAAGCAAGATCACAAATCAAATATTTTGAAGGGTTCTCAAACTGTCTCGAATTGTTGAGTCATGTTCTAGATCTGGAGTGTCAAACTGACGGCCCTCCAGCTGTTGCGGAACAGATGCTCCAACCAACCTGATAACAGCGTGCATAGTTGTGATCTTCCTGTGTGGAATCCCGGGAATACAGAGGACGGGGACATCTCTCTGGTGGGTTC